ATTTGTATGAAGCTATAGAATTCCTTTATTCTTTCAAGGTAAATGAATGCTTATGTATTCGTCCGTTAGTAGCGTGAAGCTTTGAACACTCTTTGTACGGCAGATTCGGCACAATGTTTTGCCTCATTGCGATGTTGCCTGAAAATTTTGAACAGAAGGGATCACTGCTCATGCTGGTGCAGCAAGACATGTAAGGAGATGGCCTGGTCACAATCCAGCAGTCATATATCGACAATCTCAAGCTATGACAACTCGTTACATGTGTCTGTAATAAAAAAGGGACTTTGCGATGGTGTGGGGAGCTCTTTGAGTGGTGGGACTGTGGAAATCCAGTTTGTTTCGCCCGTAACAAGTTTGTTACGGGCGAAACAACGTCCCTCTGAAACGTTTGGATATGCCTATGCAACACATTTCCTCAATTTCATGAACTGCAAGTATTCTAATCCAACATCACCCCAATCTCAGTGTAAACTAGTCTCCAAATGTGCCTGCACAAGACTGTCACCCCTGTCACCCGGCATTCACATTGCCTTAACCTCCTAAGCTTGTCGGGGTGTGACACGTGGGCATGAACCTTGTGACAATGGGCATTGTCACAAAGAAACTGGTTGCAATCAGAAATGCATTTTTCCTCATGCCAGGTTACCGACATCGGTTACCGATTACTGGGGACGGTTAACGGATAACGGTTCGCTCGGTAATCCTACCGACCGGTTACCCATCTCGTTAACTGGACCCGTTAGGTCGGAACCGGGCCGGAACCGGCCTGGAGTATGCCATTGGGCCTGTACTGTCCTGTGTGTTGTACTGCACTGCCACTTCGTGTCGTGTCGCGCCAAGCAGGTAATGAAGACATCCTCCATCCAGATGGATATGTAGCCACACACACGAAGACACAAAGGAAACGTTCACAAGATATAGGAGATGCCCGCCTAAACGCATTCCGTGTTATTTTTCATTCAGCTGTCCAGGACGAAAGCCGCACACAGCGCGGCCCCGCCGCCAGTCCTCCCACAACAGAACCCCCCCTCCCCAACATCCGGCCCAGGTCCTAGCCCGGATACTGCAACGCTGTGTGTGCTGAAGGAACACGGTAGGAGAAAAGGGGGAAGAGCTAACCCCCTCCTTCCACTTTCAGCAGCAGCTTCACTCGCTCGTGGTTCGTCTTTTCCCCCCCTTCCACCACCACTCTCGTTCGGACACCTCCCCCACTTCACTTTATTAAAGCAGCTGTGGATTCAGTCAGCGCCCGCGGAGGGCTCCCAACCCCCCTCACCATTTCCGTAGTAGGCACAGCACAGCCCCCGCTCCAGTGTTTGGATTCCGAGTTACAGGGCGCCCGACTACCGGCGGGATACGGGCTCTCCCCCAACCGGATTTCGAGTTACAGAGCGAACCACTCGTTACACGTTCTCCCCCACCCCTCCACCTTCACCTCCAACCACCACACCACCCAAGCCCTGCATGCTGCAACAACCCCAGAGCAGCTAAAAAACAACTCTCTCCCAATCACAGCTCCACCCACCCACCATTTTCACCACCTCTTATCCCTAAAACCTAAACGACAGAGCAGCACCACCAACACAACAACCAGAGGCGCACACACGCACGCGCACACACACACACATGGCCTCTACATATCGTCCTAGTGTTTTTCTACGTCGTTGTCTGAACCGTCACCACTGTGCTACAGCCGCACAAAAACGCGCCATACTCTCTCGTCACCACTCTCAAACCAGCCGCCCCGCCCCCGCCCCCCCCGCCTTGTGAAATTCTTCACCGCCAAGCGCCTGCTGCCGCCGAGGACTTGAAGATCATCTCGTGGTACGTCCCTGACCGTTGTTTCCGGTACTCCGAATACATGTCGTCCTCTGCGGGTCCCTCTGAGCCCAGACCCCCCCCGCCGCCAGCGCCGTCGTCGGCTGCGTTGTGAGCGCCCAGACCCGCATACTTGGACACATTACGACCACCTGCATGTATGCATGTATGCATATAAGTGTTATAAGTGTTATATATAAGTGTTTGCCAGGGGCAACACCGCAAAAGAAACGCAAAATGAGGCGCATGTGTGTCTGTGTGTGTGTGAGCGCGTGTGGTGGGGGAATGGGCTGGAAATCAGGGAGGGGGTGGTTAGGGTGGTTAGGGAGGGGGATAGATAGGACGGGAGCTAACCAGACCGGACACGACCCACGAGCATCACCTGTATATACACACACATATATATAATAAGTATGTATGTATTTATGTATGTAGGTGCGCAGTCTCTAGATTACACGATGAGGGGTTCTCACCCTCAATTCAACCCCCCATGATGCCCCCGTAATACACACACACACACACCGAACCTAAAAATCCCTAAATCCATCCCCTACCAACATTTTCCCACGTCAAAAGCCCTAACAGGTCTTAAACTCTCACGCCACCCGGACACACACACACACACACATCAGCACTCACCCGCAAAGGAGCCGTCATCCAGGACTCCAGCCGCCCCCCGGCCTCGACGTCGCCCGCCTGCGCCGTCCACGTCGTCGGGCTCCTCTGATCGGGACCGAATACGACCACCTGTACGGCAGAGGAGAGAGGGTGGCAGGAAGGGACAGGCGCACAAATACCCAAGTAAACATGAGTTGAGGATAGAAACACCCGCGGAAGAGCAAGGCGTACGGACGTACGGAAGTACGGAAGAGCTCTCTGTAATTAATATAGGGTCTAGGGTCTAGTAAACTAGACCCTATTAACAATACCATGTAGTCGTCAGTCAGATTGGTAAATGGAGTAAAAGCGGTGTGCAGAGAAACGGGGGCGGGGGCGGGGAAAGACGAACCACACACGATTGAAGCTGCTGCCAGGGCAAGAGAGTAACAAACGTAGGGCGGGGGGGGGCCACAGAGGTCGGCGGGGCCCCGGGGGGAGGGGCTTGAGCGAGCCCCCCACCTCCTAACCTCCCTCATCATCATACCAGGTATCATCCACACAGACTGGATCCCAAATCGAACCCCAAATATCCAAAACCCTAAACCAAATTAAATCTGGGAGGCCAGGCACGTCGCGCTGAGGCGCTTCGCCCTGAAGCGAACGAGGGAGGATGATAATGGCCTCCCTCGTCAATACCCGCATCAATACCAATATAACGTCCTTGGGCCCCTCCCCCGGCTTTTTTACGGACACACAACCGCACATGAGTGCGGGTAACTTGTAATTTGTAACATTAAAACCCTAAAACCCTAAGCTAAACCCCTTTTACTGACCCCGTATGGCGTCCTCCAGGTCCGCCCTGCTCAGCCCGGGTCGGTACTCCTTGAGGTCCGCGTAGAACCGCTCCAGTCTGGCCAGCAGGTACGAGTCCTTCTCGGGGGGTGGAGGCAGACCTGCGTGTACGTACGTACGTACGTATGTATGTATGTATGTATGTATGTATGTATGTATGTATGTATGTATGTATGTATGTATGTATGTATGTATGTATGTATGTATGTATGTATGTATGTATGTATGTATGTATGTATGCATGTATGTATGAATGATATCATGTCATACATACATGGCTGAGCATGAGCACGAGGGAGAGGAAAGAAGCTGGCGAACCCCGCGTGAAGAAACAGGACACGCAGACGGTGTGTTCGTGTGAACATATGTCTGTAACTCACTCCTTTCCGAACAGCCATCCAGCCGTCATAGGCCTTTCCCCGGCCCTCCCCAACCAACTACCCCCACGCTCTGGACCGGTGCACATCTTCCCACGCTACAACCACAAAATACACACACGCACACACATAACTACCACAACCGCCACTCACCGGCTTTATCAATGTCTGCTGGATCCAACGGTGTGTACGGCACCTCGCAACGATTCTTCTCCTTAACCAGCTCGGGAATAAGGCCCGGCGGGAAGTTGGTGGAGGGTACAGGCGTACCGGCCAGGTCCGGTCCTGGTAACGGCGCCACGGGCTTGGTGTTGCCCAGAGGTACGACACCAACGGTGGCGGCGGCGGCAGCGGCGGCGGCGGCCGCCGCCGCCGCCAGCTCTGCGGCGATGTGCGCAGCCTTGGCTTGAAGACCTGCGATGATTCAACATCAGACGACGACGTCGTACGCGCGCAGTACGATGTGACGTCCAATAACATGGATCCAATTTTCCCAGCCACAACCATAATAATCATAAGGGCTTTTGGATTTCAGCTTTGGTTAACAGAATCGCGTGCGAATCGCGACGTGCAGCAAATTTCTTGTCGAACTCGTGCATCCGGTCAAAGTTTACCTTTTTCCTGGATCTGGATCTGGATTTCGCTACATTCAAAAAGTTAGGGTCCGCCACGGCTACCAGGGCCACACGCCCCCACTACCACGCCCCCAAGGCGCACCCAGGGGGGTGTGAGAGGCGGCACAAGGCAAGGCTGAAGCACTCATACATACATCCGATACACACACAGCCATCACCCGCGTCATGTAGGGCCAACCCCCCTGAGTGCGCCCTCAACGCCCTGCCTAGTACATTCCTTCTGCTATCCTCAAAAACGCCCTCCTGCCGCGGGAGCGTTGAGCAAAATGCAACTGCAAAATAAAAATAAAACTTCTACAGCCGCTAGACGAAAAATACCCCTAATGATCCCTCTTATTTCTGTTTTCATTAGTCATCTCCTTCCCTCTTATGATTTTTAAGACACTACACCCACTCGAAACGGGCGGAGCAGCACCTCCCGAGGAGGCCGCCGCGCCTCCGGTCAGCGGCGGAGCCGACCCCGGCTGCCCCGGCAGGCCCGTCGGCGGCACCGGCATCATGGCCGTCCCCGCCGCCGCCGCCGCCGCCGCCGTTGCCATACCAGGCGTACTTAGCTGCTGCAGGTGTGGGTGCGGCGGCGCCGCCGCCGGAGGAGGAGCCCCTCCCGGCGGTCCGCTGGGGCCTGCAAACCATGGAGCCTGCATGAGTAGGTGGTTAAGATCCGTTGGCACCGTTAATGTGGCGGTTAGTCGTGGATCTGGGTTTGGAGTCACGTTTTGGATGAGGGAGGAAGGAAAGACGTGAGAACAGAATGTAACACCCTACCGGTTGTTGCGATATCGGCGGCGGCACACCGAGCGGGGTACTGTACGGCGGTAACCCTGGATGGCCATACGGCGCCGCCTGCGGCGGCGGCGTTCCCCAAGGCCCTGCAGCGGACAGCGGCCCAGTGGGGGCTCCCGGCGGCGGCGGACCCCAGCCGCCGGAGGTGCCTGGCGGCGGCGGTGCCGCCGCCGCCGCCGGGCCGCCGGCTTGCATCCACGGCGGCGCTGGCTGCCCTTGCGGCGGCAGCGGCTGTTGCGACTGCGATTGTGATTGCTGCTGCCATGGCGCCGCTGCCGCCGCCGGCGGTGGCGGCTCCGTATGCGCGGCCTGAAGCAACGCCGCCGGGTCGTCGGTGTTGAAAGCCGCGTCCTCAATCATGGTCATCGTGTCAACGTCGTACACCTGTACGATAGACGTTACAAAAGGTTCGGAGCCAGGTCGTTAACGCTTCCGCCCGCCAAAGAGCTTACAGACCGCCGGGATCCCACGGGGACAGAGGAGAAGAAAGCGGAGGAGGACGCGGAGGACAGGCAAAGAGCGGGTTTTTGGACATGCGGGTTTTTGGAGGGGGGCCCGGCCATAGGGAAAGGCCGGACAAGGAGGAGGAGGAGAAGGAGGACCCAGGCCGAGTAGCAGGTCAATGATGAGACTCCGCCCCCACACCCCGGCCCCACACCCTGCGCCACACTGCCCACCCCCATCCCCCACCCCGTCATGACCACACGCCGTTGTACACCCCTCCGCGGCTTCTCCTCCTCCTTACCTCTCCGCCCCCCTCCCCCGCTTTCTCTCCCCCTTTTCCCCTTTCCCTACCCCACGATCCCCACCCCAACGGTACCTACGGCACCTACATGCTTCTCGCTCCAGAACCTGAGAATCTTATCCAGCCGTTCTCGGATCTTTGCCGATCTGCCCCCCGTGTTGTACGCGGCCGCAAGCATGGCGCCAATGACGGTTTGGAAGGCGGCGGCGACGTCGTCGGTGGAGTGGCCAAGACTGATTCGCTGGGCTAACCTGCCAAGTTGGATTATGGCAAACGGGCCACGGAACAGGAAAACATACATACATACATACATACATACATACATACATACATGCATGCATGCGCACACGCGTAGATGTAAGCATGCATGTGACTATGTGCCGGGAGTGTGACGGCTCAGGAAAGCGGCGAGGCGCGACCCCACCCCGTGCCCCCGGGAACACCCCTCCCCCCCCCCAAAAAAAAACACACGCACACATCTCGGCTCGCACTTCCACCCGGCCTTCCTCCCCTCCGCCCCGACCAACTAACCCAACCAACAATGTCGGTAGTCGGTTAACTAGCCACCCACCACCAAGCCGCCCTTCACCGCTACAGCGCCTCCTTCCCGCTTTACTTCTACGGGCTTTTAATGCCTCAATGTCAATATTTTAATCAGCATTACTTTGAAAAAACGTCTAGCTATGTCTACAGTTTCATGGGAAAACTCTAACACGTCGCTGGTGACTATTCGGAGCTCTCTTCCCGGTACAAAGTTATTCGTGTACCACCAAAGGCCATTTTCCTCATCGCGGCTCAGATCATTTAAAGCAGACACAGACAGACAGAC